AAGTTAAAAATAAATGTGAGCATGTGAGGCCAGCTTAGTAGAGTTGAAAGGCTGGCCTTAAGTTTGAAAGGGAAAAAGCTTAACCCAATACTATTTGACAGCATTCAAAGATAGGAATGAGAATTTCAGAATTCCTAGAACATAAGTGTCCACAGCAGCCCTCATCATGCTTGTAGCCTCGTTATGTCCCGTACTCAGTCCTACAGTTAATGTAAACCTAATACCTCCGAAATGGGAAGTGAGTTGCATGTGGATTGGTCGATGAACATAGTGGCAACCAATCTGCTTGTGGGAACCAGTCACTTGTTTTCACGTGGATCAACCACTTCTTTCATTTGGCAAACACGTGCTGCAACAGTGGGGTCACTAGGATGATGTGTCATCTCTTAAGATGTAACATGGCACTAGAGGGTGTCTGGGGCTGGAATTACAGGACCAATATAAGCTCTGTAAAGAGAGAGAATGGTGAATGGAATGCCTAAGAAGATATAGCATTGGTATGACCTCGAGGAAGAGTCACTTGGCCTGTCATCTCAAGCCACAATGACAGCGCAAAAGGCTGCAATATGACTTTAAAATGAAGGGAACATGACTTGTATTCTTAATTAAGCACTCATGACCTCGGCCCAGGGTAGAACTTTGAAGGCTTGAGAACCTTGGAGCAGGCCACGAAGCAACCATATAGAAGTTTTGCTGGATAGAATCTGAGTCAGTATTTCAGGGGGCCCAAAGCAAGTGCATGAGACCCAAATCAACCGATTTAGAATTTTTGGGAAACATGGGGCTTAGCGGCTAAAGATTCATTATTTGTGGATTGGACAACCGAGTTCACTAAACTAAATTAGCAGGATTCGGTCAACATACTTGAGTGGGGCCAAACAAAGCTGCTCGAGAGGCATTCCATCAACTTACGTGGTAGAGGAAATGTGGTGCCTATCTATTTCGCATGTCAATTCTTGGGCCCAATTTTAGGCACCCTTTCCTTGACCGTAAAATGCTTCATAAATTGCTTGTGTTTCATCTCTATTACAAGCTTTATACAAGACAATAAAGGGAAAATGCTTTCTAAATTTCACAAGTACCATCAAGTTGGGATCCGTGAGTCTCTCCTCGATCCCCATTCTTTCTAAATTTCACATGGATCCCAACTTTGTTGATCTTTTGCAACATCTCCTTTGAATATGTGTGTGGGGCCATGTGCGTAATATCTCCTTTGCAATATCTTTTGCATATACGTAAATGCTCATGTATGTGCCATTGCGTTCATGTTTTGGACTTGAGGCAAGGCCAGTGTGACAACATTGTTTATACTTCACCACTCAACATTCCAATTTGACTCCGAATCTGACTCCGACTCCAAGTCTCCAACTCCCACGGCGTGATTGGGTTTCTCATGTTAACCTAGATTGTTAACTAACAAGACCTGGATTGGTTCCCTGGTTGATGTTCCATGAATTATGCTAGAACTTTTATGGATTTTTTTCTTTTTGTAGGGTAATGTACCTCTTTAACCTAATAAAGATCTTTTTTTTTTTTTTGGTGATATGATTCAGCACAATCAGGTTTTCAACTGTGGTGAGAAAGGCAAAATAGAGGAGAATGATCGACCTGCTGATGCTAGGCAAAGCATCGGACCTGAGACTCAAGATGCGAGTGACCAGGTGCATCCAAGACATTGTTTTTTTGCCTTTTTGTGGGGAATGTTCTTCTTATATGTATTTGAGTTTTGAACTATCGGCAGTTTTAACTTACCCACGCATTGGACCATGGCTTGTGGATATTCTGGCCTTAGTTTATGCCATCACCATATTCTTTTGCTTTTCTTGTTAGGGCACATACATATATTGATTGGATGATTATTTTGCAAATCTTTTCGTCCATGTTCATTCCTGTGTGCCCACAGTTGAAGAAAGAAGATTTGTTGCTTTTAATTGCAGAACTTTCGGCGCGGATATATTTTGATTGTTTTTTCCCCTTTCTTTTCTGCCTTCCATTCTCTCTATTGAATCTGCAACCTAGAGATTAGGTTTCAAACTTTGCAGAACTTTCAGCGCAGATATATTTTGATTGTTTTTTCCCCTTTCTTTTCTGCTTTCCATTCTCTCTATTGAATCTGCAACCTAGAGATTAGGTTTCAAACTTGTAACTTCTGTATTATAGTCTTTTTGGTGATTGGAATACATTTTCACTAGCATCATGCCTTTCAAATGAGCAGCTTCTGTTTGGCATTATGACAGATCTATCATGATTTTTGTAGTTCTGTTATTTGAAAAGTTTATGCTAAACGCCAATATAAAATTTGTTCTCCCAGGAGGAAGATAGAGAAGAGGAGCGTGAAGATGATTCTGAGCTGACAAAGCGTCTGTCCAGGCAGAGACGGCGAGCCATTCAAGCAGCCAATGGGGCACGGAAGATCTCTATGTCTAGAAATACTTACAAAGACAAAGGTGGTAGGTCCTCTCATAACTCTAAGATCCAGAAGCAATTGAGCAGCTGGTGAAGTGTCTGATGAATGATGAAAAGAAAAACATATTAAAGACGCAATTAGGTTGATTATAGCGAGGTATATGGTAGAGAAATGTTTCACACAGCTGCAATTGTCGACAAGGTCATATATAATGCTCCTTCAACCTCTTATGCAATGTGTGATTATGGCTGAAAAGGAAATACGGATACGAAAATTGGAATAAACCAAGATTTTGGTATATCGGTCAAGATTTGTCTGTGCTACCATAACTTGTTTGGTTGCAAAATAGATGCCGTGTCATATCCTCTTTTTCTCTCCGGATGTTCAAAGATAAATCTAATCTTACTATTTCTGGCTGAATAATAGAATCAATATCCTCTAATTGCCAATGTCGGTTTTTATTAACGGGACTTTCCTATTAACAGGCGACCTGGATAATTATTCTGTTTTGTACAGTCTCAGCAATGGTTGATCCTGTTTCCGTAATTCATTCGTAACTCAGAATTTTTTGTTTCTGTTGCTGTTGCTACTGCGGGAGGAGCNAGGCGACCTGGATAATTATTCTGTTTTGTACAGTCTCAGCAATGGTTGATCCTGTTTCCGTAATTTATTCGTAACTCAGAATTTTTTGTTTCTGTTGCTGTTGCTACTGCGGGAGGAGCAGCAGCAGCAGTAGGAAGACCGAATAAGGTGGCAATTAAGTCGTGTTTGGGTTGTGTCATTTAAGGTATATATTGTGTACTTGTCAACCCACTTAACTAATCCTGTCAAATGTTTCGACCCTTGTACGTCCTGTTAAGTACCATGCTGTGGTGGGCTTTTTATGTCCACTAATTTTGGATTGCGTTTAACATCGTGCGGAGTTGAAAATTATAATCCTTTATACAGACGGACCATGTGAAGCTTATGTTTCGTTTGGTTGGAAAGATGGAAAGTAGAAGAGATATATTTTTTATCCTTTAAAGAAGGAAAGTAGGAATGATACATTTTTTTTTCTCTGTGTTTGGTTGGATGGATGGAAAATAAGAAGNAACCCACTTAACTAATCCTGTCAAATGTTTCGACCCTTGTACGTCCTGTTAAGTACCGTGCTGTGGTGGGCTTTTTATGTCCACTAATTTTGGATTACGTTTAACATCGTGCGGAGTTGAAAATTATAATCCTTTATACAGACGGACCATGTGAAGCTTATGTTTCGTTTGGTTGGAAGGATGGAAAGTAGAAGGGATACATTTTTTATCCTTCAAAGAAGGAAAGTAGGAATGATACACTTTTTTTTCTCTGTGTTTGGTTGGATGGATGAAAAATAAAAAAGATTATTTTTTTTGTGTATGGTATAAATGAAAAAATGGAAGGAGAGTCAATAATATGCATATTTAATTTACCATTTTACCCTTATATGAGATTAGTGTACATATTATTCACAATATCTCTATGGTACACACGCCATGTGTTAAAACAAACACAAATAACATAAAAATATATATATTTTTTATTTANGGATGAAAAATAAAAAAGATTATTTTTTTTGTGTATGGTATAAATGAAAAAATGGAAGGAGAGTCAATAATATGCATATTTAATTTACCATTTTACCCTTATATGAGATTAGTGTACATATTATTCACAATATCTCTATGGTACACACGCCATGTGTTAAAACAAACACAAATAACATAAAAATATATCTATTTTTTATTTAAAAAAATAAAAAATAAAAAATAAAAAATGCACACACGTACACACACTGTTAACACATAATGCACATATCAAAAAAAATATACACACCTACTAATACACCAAAAAAAATACACACTAACTAGAACCAGCAAAATAAATCTTCAATAAAATCAATTCAAGCAGTAAAAGCATAATATACTTGAACAAATAAAATGTCATCCCAATATCAATCCCATTAAAGTAAAAAACNCACACGTACACACACTGTTAACACATAATGCACATATCAAAAAAAATATACACACCTGCTAATACACCAAAAAAAATACACACTAACTACAACCAGCAAAATAAATCTTCAATAAAATCAATTCAAGCAGTAAAAGCATAATATACTTGAACAAATAAAATGCCATCCCAATATCAATCCCATTAAAGTAAAAAACGAAAAATGTAGAGTCACACGATAAATCTTCATCCTAATAACATCACCAACTTCTTTCAAGCATTTCCTTCTGGAATAAAATAGAAACCATCTATCGACTATGATTCCACCCAAGAGTTTTGCCAAAAACTATGACTATACCAACTAAAATTAAAAAATGTAGCAAATCAAATATTATGTCCCCTAACTAATCTGCCATGACTCCTTAAACATTTCTTGAGCCTTGCATCAATTTGCTCAAAAGCTCCAAACGACGATCTGTTGGTACACCAGACGACGATCAGATTGTTAGACTGATTCTTCCTACTAGATTCTTAGCATTGAATTCATCCATCTCATAAGAAGGCAGCAAATTCATTTTGGACTCATAATATCCTTGCCAAATAGACCGCAAAGGGCACTTTTGATCAAAGTTCCTGCTTCTAGGTAAACCTACACATATTCAGCTTCAATGCAGTTCTAATTTTTGACCAATCAAAATTATGATTTCAACAGTGAAAAAATTGATTCAAGCAGACAAATACAAAGCTTACCTGACTTGATCATATATCACGCTCCACAATCATCAAATCGAAACTTGAATATGAGTAGATAGAGAATCCCTCGATAAATTGAGGAAGATTACGAAGCTTACCTATGGCGATCGTCGATGGGAAGAAATCGGCAAAGAAAATGAACATCGGCAAAAAATCCCACCGAATTCTAGAATACTCTGCGATTTGGGTTTTTTCGTCTCCAATATGAACGGATGTTAGGTGTAGGTTTTTAATGTAAATAATTAATTTGTTGAAGGTTAAAAAAGTAAATAACATATTTTGACCTAACATGAGTATCATTTTCTTTACTTTTCTGCCAAATTTTGGAGAGATTGATTTTAGTGAGTTGGATGAAAAGTTAATCCATCCACTTTTCTTTCCTTCCAACTTTTCATCCTTACCAACACATGATGTTTTATTTATCCTTCAAATTTTCTATCCTACCAACTCTTCATCCTTCTATTTTTTTATCGTACCAAACGGAGTTTTATAGTCAAATCGACCCAAGAACCTGTGTAGCATGTGACCAATTTATGATAATGTACCACGTGACGAAGTAGAATAGTTTTTGGAACTTCGCATCCCTTAATAGACACAACTTAACCTTTGTAGGGAAAATAAAAAAATTGTAACTTGCTTTTAATAGAAATTAATTTATGGTAAAGTGACCAGCCAAATTTTGTTATCTATACCTTTGCTATGCAATATATAGATCCCAATAACTTGCTTTTAATGCAAACATAGTAGCAATAAAGGCACTAAAAAAAAAAAACTCAAGAATGTCTATGCCTAAAGATATTGTATAACTCAAAAAAATAGCTAAGCAATATGAGTCAACTATTACTACAAATAATAACCACTGTTTAATGGCATTGTGCAACACAAAAAACAAGCATCAGTCATGTAATATAAATATTTTAAGTAACAATAAATATAATTATGTATTTTTTGGAAAAAAAAACTCCTAAATTACATGTGGTTGTTGCCATTAGGAATGTCAAACGTGTCGGATTAAACAGTTACATGTCGGGTTAAATGGGTGATAGCTGGAAAACATATAAACCCGTATGCGACACATTTAATAAATGGATAAAAAATTTCAACACAAATACGATCTGTTTAATAAACGGGTAACACAATACCNATTAGGAATGTCAAACGTGTCGGATTAAACAGTTACATGTCGGGTTAAATGGGTGATGACTGGAAAACATATAAACTCGTATGCGACACATTTAATAAATGGATAAAAAATCTCAACACGAATACGATCTGTTTAATAAACGGGTAACACAATATGCCTTGTTTAACCCGTTTAATTTTTAAAAAAAATTATATCAACAAATTTTAATACACAACTTTTTTAACTGTCAATTGTATTTACTTCAAAAAAGATGAATTTTTAGACAAATTTAACATAAAAATCATATTTGAAGGCTAAAAAAAAGGTAAGAGACCACTGCTTTTTATAGGCAAGACATCCTTCCTATCTCCGCTCATTTGCCGATGTGGGGCAAAAACAAAAAAGGTTGGTTTGCTTTTGTCGTGAATTGCTCTCCATCTCCCATCTTTTGTTTTTGAACCACTACTTTACCATTTTTTTTTTTGTATTGATTTTTTACTTTTTTTTTTGGCTAATTTTTAAAAATAATTATTAATTATTATTATATTAATTTTATTTAAATAGGTAAATGTGTGATAAATAATTTGACGGGTCTCACCCGAACAAAACCCGTTTATTAAATGTGTCTGACGAGTTAATCCGTTTACCACCCAAATCCGTTAAGATCTCACCTAAACTCGCTTAATTCGTAATAATTTGTGTTTGTTAATCGTGTCGTGTCAAATTTTGATAGGCTTANACCATCTAAATTCGTTAAAATCTCACCTAAACCCATTTAATTCGTAATAATTTGTGTTTGTTAATCGTGTCGTGTCAAATTTTAATAGGCCTGACTGCCACTAGAATAGGAAGAATAGGAGTTGGTCTCCTTCAAAAATTCATGCTCCAGTATTCCAAAATCACTCCAGAAAGCTGTGATTTAATGGAACGGAATGACGTCTAAAAATAAATTGTAATGGAGAAAGATCAAACGGATTGGCTCATCACAAATTCCTCTAAATTATCCTCCAACTTAAACGGCATCAATAATTCTGTAAAATTTTAGAAATGCATGGAGTGAAAATCTATTCTAAAGACTGATCTTCCGCGCTCTGAGACGAACCTGCTTTCATTAAGTTTTTTCACCTGCCTTTGATTTTTGAAATGGGTAAATTACACTTTAACTCCTTAAACTATGGACTCGCTTTCATTTTGCCCCTTGACTATTGAATTTTTGACATTGCCCCTTAACTATTCAAATTATTTTAAATTACTCCAGTTGCAAACGCCTACTATCTATCTTTNGACTGCCACTAGAATAGGAAGAATAGGAGTTGGTCTCCTTCAAAAATTCATGCTCCAGTATTCCAAAATCACTCCAGAAAGCTGTGATTTAATGGAACGGAATGACGTCTAAAAATAAATTGTAATGGAGAAAGATCAAACGGATTGGCTCATCACAAATTCCTCTAAATTATCCTCCAACTTAAACGGCATCAATAATTCTGTAAAATTTTAGAAATGCATGGAGTGAAAATCTATTCTAAAGACTGATCTTCCGCGCTCTGAGACGAACCTGCTTTCATTAAGTTTTTTTACCTGCCTTTGATTTTTGAAATGGGTAAATTACACTTTAACTCCTTAAACTATGGACTCGCTTTCACTTTGCCCCTTGACTATTGAAGTTTTGACATTGCCCCTTAACTATTCAAATTATTTTAAATTACTCCAGTTGCAAACGCCTACTATCTATCTTTTTGGACAAAAATTGTCAAAGTGTCAGGCAAAGTGAATAACTTTATATAGTTCAGGGGTAAAATAAAATAATTTTTTGTTAAATATGTAATGTACATTAATAATTGGGACAATGTAAAACTAATCATATAGTTGAGGGAGCAACATGAATAACATGATAGTTGGGGGACAATGTAAAAAAAGTCATAGAGTTGAAGCGGTCAAAATGTAATCTACCCTTTAAAAACGTCCCTCCTGTTGGTTGAACATTGCGTATCTTCTTCTGCAACATTATTCTTCATGGAGAAAAAAACATGACTCTTAATCAATTAAATTGCCATTACGAATCAAAAAGTGCATCAAGCAAACATAGTGCATTGGAGCATCAAATTCGTTGAATTTTCATTCATAATCTAACAATCATCACTGTAAACTTCTAATTATATTATTCCAAAAAATAAAATGCTACAGACAACCTATGATCAAACGACGTATCGGATGCCCTACGCCCTACGGTACAAAATACCTATTAACCAAGAGCTTAAGTAAATCTTGAGGTTAAATTATATTTTGATCCCTTCAACTATGACCCATTTTTTAATTTTACGCTCTCAGCTATTATATTTTTTATATTGCACCTTTAACTATGTGATTAGTTTTATATCGTTTCAATTATTAAAATCCTACATATTTAGCAAAAACTTGTTTAATTTTTTTCATTTTATATTGACACGTATGTAATTTCTATCTAAAAAGTTAGAGGATATTTGTAATTGAGACAATGTGAAATAATTCGAATAGTTGATGGGGCCACAGGTGGATCTAGTAAGTGGCTAGTGGGCCCACCCTCAATTTTTATTTTTTTAAAAGTTTATTATTTGGGGAAGAAATATAAAACTAAATATTTATGTAAATATTGTACACAAGTGTTTGTTTTTTCTGTTATTTGTTGTAAAGGTATTAAATCTCTAATATTTTGTTTTAGTACAAACGACACCGTTGTGTACTCTGTTATATAATTTATCTATTTTTGGTGTTATTAGGTGATATTATTGATTTTAAACACGTTATTATATTATAGACACATGCATTTTTACGTGTTGAGTTTTATTTCTATTACTGAAAAATTAAAGAGGATCTCTCAAGATGAGGTGTGACATATCCACGGTCAAGAATAAAGGGCCTCAAAGCCCGAATTTTTCCAAAAACATGCCTTAATTAATTTGATCAATTAAACAAGGCATGGGGGCATTATGGGGAGCTTATGTCTTGCAAGTGCTGACCGGCACATGGCTTGGATGGCTTAGCCAACTTGTAGCCTTCTACGGGCACCCAACCTGCCGGCAGTTGGTTGTCCACGAATTCGAAAGATGTCTCATTGTCACCCTTTTACATGCCCACCTCTGCTAGATAAGTCCTATTCAAATAAGGATCTAGGACTAAATGTTCTGGTACAATATTATTTCGAATGTTTAGGAGCTAGTTATAAGGCACCTAGGAACAAGAGTCTTAGTTTAAAACTACTCTTGAGGACTTAGTGATAAGATTGATTTTATCACCATCTAGAGTTCGAGTTCCTTTGAGACACAATTTTTTGTCATTATAAATAAAGGCTTCGGAGTATCAGGCAAGAACATTCAATCCTAACCTATTTACTATATACTATTATTCGATTATCGGTTAACTTAAGTTTTTCAAAACTTCCTTACCGTTAGTGATACGTGAAAGTCAATCAAGAAAGGTTTTCAAGTCATTAGATGTGATTAGAAATAAGTCGAGAGTCAGGTACCATAACATTAACCCACTCTCCAATAGTTACACTAGGCCTCTGCCTATAAAAACCAGCCATACTCCATGAATAGGGTCCACAATTGCACTACCTCGTTTTATGTTCTCTTACTTTCTCTCTTTCTTTCACTTTTGCTTTCTTTATATGTTGGTTGTCTATGCGCTTCCACAAGAAATAGGAGTATCATTAAGACTACATCAAAGCCAGAAATTGTATATATTTTTATCAACTATAACAAATTATGTTCACAGATGTTCAGCCAGCGCCCCCCAGTCCAGTCAAGTATACACAGCAGCAGGTATTAGATATTGGCAACTTAAGCAACAGCCAGATAAATCTAGACAAATTTTTTATTCCGTTACAGAAATCTCTACACAGTTCGATTTATCAACAACTCATTGGGAGGTCAATCTGTGAAGGATTTGGTCATCAGCTAAAACTATATGCATCAATAGGCAAGTTTTTTAGTTTCCACACGACCAACACAAAGCAAGGAAAGAGAAAAATAAAAGAATCATGGGACAGAGAAATTCAGAAAACAATTACTGAAAATCTTGCCTGACATTCATTATTAATGGCATTTGCCTGCCATCAGGCATAATGAAATAGCTCTAGAACAGCAAGCACGTCTCATCTTTCCAGGGAATTACATCAAGACAAAAACCAACGAGGGACTTATTAAACCCAAAAACCTCTGTTTAGAACTCGACAGTGTCAACTTTCGACATAAATATGTTGAAATTTTATTTAGTGGCAGAATTTTTCCTGCTTGCCCCCCGGTATGTAAAGCTTAAAGCAGCAATCCACGAAAACGCTTGCCAAATAATCTCATTGCCTTCTGGTCAGATAACTCAGTTTCCTTTTNAGTTCACAGAGTTAGATTATACTTCAGCCTAGACATCTACTCAGCGTAAACTAGATTATAGAAGCCCCTATACATGCTTTTTGAAGCTTGAAAACATGGATTATTACTCACTGTCACTGAGAATCAAAATGAACTCCTTTCCTTTGAGTGGTCGACTTTAACAGAAATTTATGATGCCAAGAGGAATTGTCATTTGTAATAAGGAAGTTGATAAGCAAGAATTACAGGAGGCTAGACCAGCCATTTCAAGGTCCATTTAAATGGCACTTGTATAAGGGCAACCTAGTGCGTGAGGATCCTGCCACTACAGAATCTAGCGAGGGTCATATGTATGAAGCCTTATCCTGTTCATACAACCTTGAAGGTACTTATATTTTAAAAAAAGAAACAGAAAAAGATATCCACAAAGAAGGTTTACCATTTATGTCTATAAAATCAAGTTACAACAAATAAAACTCTTATAAGGCTATCCGGCTAGTATACACCCTCCTTTTGTTCTAATAAGTATTAGAGAAAAAGTACATGAAAGATAACAATATGTACAGCTAAAAGGGGCATACCAAAGCAAATACAACCTGCTAACAGCAAGACTAGGATGGCACCCCAAGAAAAAATGCATTGGAGTCCACACTCAAAGACAAGGCACTTGAAGAAAACCCTTAGGTTTGAGAATTGCAAGTGTTGACTCATTCCAAGATGTACAATTTTGTGAGCATTTCATCTTTGAAAAGAAACATATGGAATTCGAGATCGAAAATTCTCCCCCCCCCTCTCTCTCTCTCATGCACACACACATTGGGAGAAGAAAACAGACCTTCTCTAGTTTTAAAAATGTTATTCCTGTCTCCTACTAATTAGAGCGTCCAAAGCCAAAACCCAAGACAGACAACAAACACTTAACCAATCAGGCTTATAGTAAATGCATTAAGAAACTTTGGATGGCTCTATCGCCTCCATTTGTCCTTCATTTAATATTTTCTGCAACCACAAACTACAATTACCAAACGCCCTAAATAACTAACTCTGAAACAAAGGATAAGACAAGAAATAACAATAATGATAGAAAATGCATTAGACAACTATTCATTGAGATTTGTAATTTTTAAGAATGAAAGACAGAACTTCAGTTGCTTATAATATAGGGATTAAAAAAATTACTGAGATTCCAATNTGAGGAGGCCTCTTCGTAGAGTTTTTGAGAAGCTTCTGGTTCAGTTACTGTATCAGCAGTGCCATGGAGAACTAGGAACCGTACTTTCACTTTGCTCAGGTTCTGTTGCAAGTAAGATGCAATTCGAAGAATCTCATANCTGTATCAGCAGTGCCATGGAGAACTAGGAACCGTACTTTCACTTTGCTCAGGTTCTGTTGCAAGTAAGATGCAATTCGAAGAATCTCATAACCAGTTCTCATTCTGATGGATCCAGTGTACACCAAGGGGTCTGAATACTTTGCCAGGAGTGCCTCTGGGTCCCGAGAAACGGCCGTGCCCTTCTTGTTCGCAGCACTGAATTGGTATCTTGGCAGCAAGAAGGAAAAAACAGGGGCAAGTGCCTGGCATCAAGGTAAATGAACTTTCAAAACACAATCTCCTCTAACAACAAAAAAAATGAATTTTTTGGAATCGCTAGATTAGAAATATTATTTTTGTTCAGAATTTCAAACAGTCAGGGTCATATAAAGGGTTTTCTTACTGCAAAAATTGGATGCGATGGCTGAACTCCTACTGCAGGTGAAGTCAGCACAACACCTGCTATGCAAGCTTCTACCTTTGGGTCAAGTACAGCCTACAGGAATTAATGAGACTCAATACTAGAAATTGAAAACTCACACACTTTAGATGTATGTTTATCAAGTTTGGCTTCAAAAAGTGAAGAAATGATTCAGGAAAATATCACATTAAAGTAGCCTCACCATGAGGACTATGGCTGCACCAGTGGAATGCCCAAAGCAAAAACATGGAAGCCCTGGATTATCAGCTATAACCTTCCGAAGAAATGATTTCTATATTGTAAGAAGATACATTAGTGGATTCACTCAACATACACATAGTACCAAGTAACTTATACTCTTGTGAATTCACCCCAAAGCATACCATATCAGCAACAGCATCATCCAAAGAGTGAACATAGGCATGCAGCCCATCACTTCCACCATGGCCTACAGAAAGAGGAAAAATTGATAAAAATAAGTCATATGTTTGACTGATAAACAAATAAGCAAGGGATATGAACAAAAATAACTGGATATAAGAACCACTAGTACAAGCAGTTACAGAACTTTGCTCTCTTGGTACAAATAAGCTGCCTACATCTATGTCCTTTAAACCCAAGTTCTCATAAGAAAGGATGGTGGAGAGAGAGAGAGAGAGAGATGAACACAAAGCCTTACACCTAGTGAAGCAACTAAAAAAACTAAAAAAGGGGATCAGAAGATACAGAGGGCAACACCCAATAAATTTACGGGGGGAACCTAGTGACAGACAAGTTTAGATCTCTATTGCAAGTAAACACAGAAAGATCAAACCTTAAAGCAATTCAAGACCTAATGATGGAAAAAAGAGTGACTGTAACTGCATGCCTGTAGCCAGGAGGAGGCACATTGTGTACCAAAAGAATGTTCTGTTTCAAAGACCACAGTCAGCATTTTCTAAAAAACTTCATTCCTGGGAAGGGCTCAAAGAGTGGCTTGGTTTTCAAGACAAAGAAAAGATTAGATTCCTAGAGAGACCTCACAATTCTGGTCTTCTGCTCCTGCAACTTGAAGAAGAGAGAGAGAGAGTTTTAAGGTTCTAGCTTTTTCGAAAAGAATTCTTNAGAGACCTCACAATTCTGGTCTTCTGCTCCTGCAACTTGAAGAAGAGAGAGAGAGAGAGAGAGAGAGATAGTTTTAAGGTTCTAGCTTTTTCGAAAAGAATTCTTCCTCCCTTCACCATTCTTATATGAACAAGGACAGATGCAAAGACTCAAATGATAAGCTTACTTATTAGGAGGAGCTTCACATGTTACTTTTTTGGCACCAATGGCCATCCAAATTGGAATATATGCAATCCCTGCAACATCCAAATATAGATGTATCGTCGAAGAACTGTGATATCTAGACTACAAAATCGTAAATACATTAATAAGGCAACCGTCTTCGAAGAAATATCAGATAACTGCATGGCACCGACACAAATTTTAACTGGGAAAAAAGAAAGAAAAACCAACAAGAAAATTCATTAAATCTGGATACAAGGAAGTTCACAGAGTTAGATTATACTTCAGCCTAGACATCTACTCAGCGTAAACTAGATTATAGAAGCCCCTATACATGCTTTTTGAAGCTTGAAAACATGGATTATTACTCACTGTCACTGAGAATCAAAATGAACTCCTTTCCTTTGAGTGGTCGACTTTAACAGAAATTTATGATGCAAAGAGGAATTGTCATTTGTAATAAGGAAGTTGATAAGCAAGAATTACAGGAGGCTAGACCAGCCATTTCAAGGTCCATTTAAATGGCACTTGTATAAGGGCAACCTAGTGCGTGAGGATCCTGCCACTACAGAATCTAGCGAGGGTCATATGTATGAAGCCTTATCCTGTTCATACAACCTTGAAGGTACTTATATTTTAAAAAAAGAAACAGAAAAAGATATCCACAAAGAAGGTTTACCATTTATGTCTATAAAATCAAGTTACAACAAATAAAACTCTTATAAGGCTATCCGGCTAGTATACACCCTCCTTTTGTTCTAATAAGTATTAGAGAAAAAGTACATGAAAGATAACAATATGTACAGCTAAAAGGGGCATACCAAAGCAAATACAACCTGCTAACAGCAAGACTAGGATGGCACCCCAAGAAAAAATGCATTGGAGTCCACACTCAAAGACAAGGCACTTGAAGAAAACCCTTAGGTTTGAGAATTGCAAGTGTTGACTCATTCCAAGATGTACAATTTTGTGAGCATTTCATCTTTGAAAAGAAACATATGGAATTCGAGATCGAAAATTCTCCCCCCCCCTCTCTCTCTCTCATGCACACACACATTGGGAGAAGAAAACAGACCTTCTCTAGTTTTAAAAATGTTATTCCTGTCTCCTACTAATTAGAGCGTCCAAAGCCAAAACCCAAGACAGACAACAAACACTTAACCAATCAGGCTTATAGTAAATGCATTAAGAAACTTTGGATGGCTCTATCGCCTCCATTTGTCCTTCATTTAATATTTTCTGCAACCACAAACTACAATTACCAAACGCCCTAAATAACTAACTCTGAAACAAAGGATAAGACAAGAAATAACAATAATGATAGAAAATGCATTAGACAACTATTCATTGAGATTTGTTATTTTTAAGAATGAAAGACAGAACTTCAGTTGCTTATAATATAGGGATTAAAAAAATTACTGAGATTCCAATCAGGCTATATTTCTATTGCCAATACCAGTATAACATTCCAGAATCACATAGATAAAATAAGCACCCATGGATTTATTCACATGTTGCACAATTTCCAAGGCTGTCAAGTTCAGACTACTTGCAGCTTATCAGTGTAGACAAACTCGACCCTAGGCCTTAAAGAGTTAATTACAATCTTAGGAATACAAGATGACTTCATTTGTTTAACTTTTTTAATGAGACATGCTAAATACTTACACAGCTACTTCCATAAACTTGTAACATTAACATATGTAACACATGCTTAATAAGAGAAGATAGATTTTGTGAATCACTAAGAATAAACTCGATCTAGATGCAGGAAAAGTGGAGCGATTCAGGCTTATGAAATAGGTCCAAAAGTATAGCTTATATATGTCTTGTATTTTGCTAGACGAGTTGTGATTTCGTGCAGTACTTATTATGGACAAATAAAAATACAATCAAAACAAAATCTGTATCTGCCTTCAGGTATTATCCCCAACATTGAATTTACAGCTCTCTGGTGTGCAAAAACTACATAACAAAACAACCTTTGAAACAGCAAAAAATCATATTTAAGAAGGAATTATAAACAGGACAATTACATATCACCCCCCTTCTTTTCTTCCTCCAAACGGAAAAATTAGCTCAAAAAATTGAATGAAACTCTTGGGAAATAATTTCTGATCGACTATATTAACAGGTAAATATCAATATTCAGCATGTGGTAATGGTGCTGAACTAACCAATCCAATCCATTCCATAGATCTTATATCCATTGGCAGTCAGCAGCTTGGCAAAATCACTGTATCTGCCACTGTTTCAAAAGAAGCATTTATTTTAAGCAATACAAAATAAGGAATCAACTCAACATGACATTAAATCTGAAAGGAAAGTACACATACAAACCTGTGTTCATTCAGGCCATGCAACAGAACCACCAGTCCCCTGCACAGGACAAATGAATCCATTTTGGGTGCAACTAAGTCACTTTTTGAATGGCGATTTAAAGGAAAGTAAAATAATTTTAGAAGTAGAAGAACCACTCTACAGGATTACAAGGGAGATCATTTTGTGACTTTAACACATTGAGCATTCAGTTGAACCAGATGCAAGTATTCATTCCCTAGTTAAATATTTGTAAAAATTGCCTCCAACGAATTTACTGTAGTTCTCTAAGAAGCCAGTGACTTAAAACAAACAATCTTTCTTAACCATTCTCAAGGAGCTGAAACAAAGATATACACTAGATGGAATTACATGGAATCAAACCATTCGATTTCCTTTCCACAAGACAATATGAAATTTATATAAAAAATCAGCTAGCAAGTTGAATCTTTATCCCTTATATATTTCCCCCCCAAAAACATACATCACTCAATTCTATCACTTGTTCAATCACATAATATTTAATTAATTTGTAGTTTAACACCACTTTTATTTTATACATTATTCATACATGATAGTGTACACATGTTAAAATTTNTATACACTAGATGGAATTACATGGAATCAAACCATTCGATTTCCTTTCCACAAGACAATATGAAATTTATATAAAAAATCAGCTAGCAAGTTGAATCTTTATCCCTTATATATTTCCCCCCCAAAAACATACATCAATCAATTCTATCACTTGTTCAATCACATAATATTTAATTAATTTGTAGTTTAACACCACTTTTATTTTATACATTATTCATGCATGATAGTGTACACATGTTAAAAAAATTTTATCGAGTTATGTATTTTGAGAAAATTTTGACACTATTTTTAAGAAAATAATAGGTAGAAATTAATTTTAAATGATGTAAACAAAATATTAATTTTAAATTTGGTATAGTGGGATCAATTTTTTGAACGCTAAAATTTTATATTTCATTGTGCCTTCAGGCACGGGGTATGACTAATTATCATATATACTGCAATCGTTACCATACTAAGCAGTATTATAACAGGAGAGAATGTTTTAACACAAAAGCGTAGTATGTGTCTTTCGATGACTCCAAGTCCTTGCCTAAAAATTAGGCATATTCAAATGATACAAAACATATTGTGTAACTAAATTATTTTCGCATGGCTTTAGAGTTTAGTAGGTCACTGAGGATGCATCCAGTGATATGCTAGACTATTAAAGCAAAATTACAGCCTAATGGACATCTGAGCCATAGAGAGGAGAAAAATTTAGAGCCGATTATAGTCCAAAATTTTTTCCTATAAAATAAAAAATCCTTCTACATGATTCCCATCAAAAGCTCGATTTTCATGTGGTTATCCATTAGCCCCTTTGCCATTTATGCTTAAGTCCTCAAGCTAATGGCGATAATTTATCAAGGTGTCTACATTCCAATTCTGAAGCAGCTAAGAAAAAAGTAAGTACATGATAAAAGAAACGCATTTAGTTGTTGATCTTCCAATAATTTTGCAGGAAAATATCGTCTAGAAAACTATGATTCCCTAGTTGTCTCAATGTTTACTCTTGGCTTTTCATTTAAAGAAAAATCACAGAAATTTCAACATGGTCTTTGAAATGAAAATAAACGACATTCCAACCCTCACAGGATAATGGTTGGTTCAATGAATAAGTCAAAACCATAAAAGCCAGATAATGTTAAAGGTCATTAGACTATATGCCCCACTACAGCCCAAAATGCATAATTCAGCCGACAACCTTTGCCTCACTGCTGCATGACAATAGGTTCCCAGATCAAAGCCAACCTGATTATTGACTTAATCAACATTAAGCAATTCGATTTTTAATATTGAATCATGCTCACTAATGTTTATTATTTTTAACGAAACCATAATATCATTTTTAAATGAATAGGATGTGGTCAAATTACGGAAAAAAATCAAGGTTCAACTACTTTGGCCTGGCTATTCGTAAAATCCAATCATAATTTTGCCCAAGTTTATGCCTAGTCTTGTATGAAAACAATTCTAAACCTCTCCTATGTTATCAGAACAAGCTTTTGATTCTTTTTTTTTTTTGG